CCCCTTGCGCGGAGCGAGGGTTCTCCACCCCGCACAACATGATCTACTCGGCCACCATTATGGTTACCGCCAAAAAAAAGAGGTAAAAAAATATACCGGTAACCTGGTTGCCGAGTTCACGAAGTGAATTGGCTTGTTTTACATCGTCGTTGCCAACCGACGAAAACCCAACCCCGATCGTGAGCACCGGGGGGGCGGGGGGGGGGATTCATGAAAAACGCATGCCGTAGTAGTTAGACCAATGATCTCGCATCCCGACAATGCCGGGACGGAGTGATATGTCCCGTTTCGCCGGCCCAGGGGTGCCGCCATTTGGGAGGGACCGATGGGAACGTGTGGGCCCTGTTGCTCATGTCACGAGCTCGGGCCCCGACAGTGGCGAGCGAATAAGTCGTGCCAGGCTAGACGAAGACTTACTAAGTAAGGTTCAATACGTTTGTCAAGCTTGAGGAAAAGCCACGTCGATGGAGGTGGGTAAGAGCCTCGTTCAGAGGTCGGTAGTTCACCACAAGCTACACGCCACAAAAGTGCCCCCCGGAAAACAGTCCGCCCGGAGGCGGTGAAAACCCCACAAATCGCTCTGCCCCGGCATCGTAGAGATGCCAGGTCAACAGTCAAACGACTGCGGCATGCGTTCACACGAGTGGGTACACCCCGGGGGGCCGGAAGAGTTTTTTCACCTGGTGCAGGTCGACGTCTTCCTCCACTTGCGCCATCTGTTCGGAAATCTTTTCCTGCTCCGCCCTCCTCTCGCGAGCGGTCTCGAACACCGGGCGCTCCAAGACCACCTGCCTGGGGTTTTTGCGCGCGTTCACCGAACGAGAGCACGGCAAGGGTTTGGGTCGATTTGTTTAGCAAGCCTTGAGCCATTTGTGGTAGAGTCAGCGAGCGGTGTGGTCGCTGTTTACTTATTTATTTTTATTTCATCAGTATGACCACAATGAATCCATCTCTATCGAAGAAAAGAGCCTGAGATAGATTAGCGATTTTGATTTTACCGGGCCCCGTTCTGGTTTAGAACCCTTTTTCTTTCTGGTTCAGAACCCCGTTTCAGTACTTGTGGGCTGGTGGGTTCTTGCTGCTCAACGTACAACAAGCAATACCCTAAAGAACTTCTTTCGTTTCGTGCGGCCCTCTCTTATTATTTCATCAGTGGTGGAAAGCCAGCAGGGGGTGTATGGTGTGGGCAGCTGGGTGTGGGTATGGAAAAAAAAAACTTCAACTCCAAGATAATCGAACACTTCATTTCTCAGCTGCTAGTTGCGTAGGTAGGTGCGTCCTACACCATGAGACCGACCGAATTCCAGTTTTTTCACCAAGTCAAGCCTTGATCGATGGTGGGGCTTGAAGCAACTCGCTGTCGAAATTTAAACTTTGGAAAGTGTGCCCTGTGCTTCCGTCGGTTGAGTGCCGCATGTTTGGCGTCCGTGGTAGGTAATGTGGAAGGTATTCTGTGACCGTCCTGGTGGCGATACGTTATGACTTCTGTTGGTTGTGTTTCCCGGAGATGGTTTGACCGTGCGGGAGGGCGGAGTGTCAAGAATAGCTGCACGTGACTCGTGTCGCGAACCTTGCAAACCCACAACAGGGTGGATACGAGAAGGAACGTCCAGACAAAAACAGAAAAATAACCAGCCAACCCTCTTTCAAAAGCCGCACTCGCGCCCCGTCTTGCAACATATTGTAAATCATAATATTCTGTGTAGTCCAGCTAAGAGGCGCGGGGTGTAGGGTAGGTTAATCCCGGGCCATGTTGCGGACTAACAAACTCACTCTTCCTGCCGCTGCCGGAGCTTGATCAGCTCCGCCATCTCCACGTGCGCGTGTCGAGCCTCCGTGAAGCAGTCCTGAGGTTCGCCAAACAAACCATCACGCCCGTTTGCGCGCAATGGACACGTTCGATGAAAGGATAAATTACCTTCATCAGTCATCTTCTCTTTTTGCTCAGACTACCTTGGCGTCAAAAGCCAAGAACCTCCGGCTAGTGATTATTATGGCGGAGAAGTCGTTCGTCCAGAGTCTCTACGGGGTGTTTTCTTGTCGATGGCGAAGTGAGTCGCTTCGGTCGATGTGGGGAGTACAGTAGATGGTGCCGTCGCATTTTCCTCGGCATGTGTGATACACAGACGTAAGCATAGCTAAACACAGACGGAGACCTAATACCGAGGGTTCCAAACCCCACACGCTACAGCGGTGCACCACCCGACCCTACCGTCCTCCTGTTCGAGTACAACCAATCATGAGTTTGCTGCCCCCACTTCCCCGCGTAAACCGACTTTCATCTTCCACCTTCTCCGCGATGATCGCATCCTGCAAGGTCTCCTCCATCTCCGCCCCCGCCGCGCCGCCGCCGGCGCCCCCGTCTCCACCGCCGGCGGCCTCGGGACCAGCACCACCACCCCCCGCCCGCTCGCCGCCGGCCGAGGCGTCCCCCCCTCCAATTTTCTTGGCGCCGTTTCCGCCCCCACTGAGCTCGTAGGCGTAGGCCGCTCCGACGATGGCTCGGTTGTCCTTGAAGTGCATCTGGAAGTATGTTTTTTCGTGTTGTGTGTGCTCGGGATAGTGGAGAAACGAATAGCGTGGCCATGGCTAGCACAGTTTGTGTCAGTGGGCTTGATTCTTGGGGGATGACGCCGAAGTGCGGCTGTCGTCAGTAATGCTTGCTGGGGTGCTTGCTGCGACAGTTACCCCCCGACCAAGATTTAGACTGAATCTTCTTCTTGTCGACACCGACCGCCACTTCGACGGGTCTCAGGCACCGCCATCGACTTCAACAGCATCACACCATGGACAACAACAACAACAACATCAACAACCCGAGACTACAAGCACGAAGAACAGATCCACCCTCTAGAGTACTTCTCGCCTTTCTGGCGCGGGTAACATCCCCCTCGGGGTAGTGGTAGAGCGTGCGGATGCGGCCCTCCGCGAGGTAGTAGGACCTCTTCGCCACGTCCCGCTCGGCGGACACCCCGCCCTTTCGCTCGAACTTCTCCGTCATCTTGTACACAACCTTCGGTGTGCGCGTTCGTGTCGTTGCCAGGCATTGGTCCACACGTTCGTGGGGCCCGTTTTTTGTTAAAAAGGTGGTGTTGTTTCAGGCAATGGTTCACGCGCTCGTTGTTCTTTGCGAGTTTTCTCCAACATAGCCATTTGTTTATCGCGTTCTGAACGCGTTCGCTTGCTTCCTTCGAGGTGTCCCAGGAAGTGGCTCACACGTTCGGTCGCTCCTTCCTTCTTGAACATCTGTCTCTTTTCTTCGAAGAAGAAGAACAAGCTCAACTGGCTGGAACTGGAACAGGCAAAGACTACCAGAGGGGTGAGAACCTCCGACCAGGACGAGAAACTTCATAAAGGATGATTGCAAGTCTCTCGCTAGGCGGTGTGTTTTTGCGACTATTACTGTAGACGATAAAGCGTTCACCCCTCGTTTCGCGCTTTTTTTTTCGGCACCTTGCGCGGACACCCAGTACACACGCCCCCTATGACTTTCGGCAAAACGCTCGAAAGGAAGAAGGAATCTGAGGAACAAAGTGACCACTTCTACGCCCGTGCAAAGCGACACGTTGAGATACCAAACACTCCAGTAGCTCGGACTCTTTTTGTTTTTAAGCTCACCACGGGCTTTGTGTCGAAGAAAAAATAACATAGATGCGTTACCACGTATACGTCTGTGTCGGCACAACCGAAAGCCTGTCATGTAGTCCACCCCTACCCCTCCGTTTTCTGCGCGTTTCTGCAGTCGAGCATCTTGCGTTGCCACCTTTTTGACCAACACTTTCAAATACCCTTTCCCCGCACCCTCGCCCGCTGCCCCCTTTCCCCCCGGCCCCCTCGACCGCTGCACCCCAACCCCCTCCGTGTTGCTCACCAAATCCCCCGCTCCATCAGTACCGGGAAGCATGTAGACGCTTGGGAGGCCCTTCGCCGCGGCCTCCTCCGGCGACATGACGTTCACAGACCGGTACGTCAGTCGATCTGTACGCCCCTGCATGGTCTGGATAACCTTTGGGAAGTTGGGAGAGGGCGAGCGGGAAAGAAGGGGGCTGAAGGGGCGGAGGACGAGGAGGCGTCTGGGCGTTCTGACATTTGCCTCAATGCAGTGGTTCGCAGGCTTTCCAGTCGGTGGTAGAAGGCGTACGGACGGGTGGGGGGACGTAAAATGTGCAAAAACATTGCCGTGGGTTCGTTAGAAACGGATGTTACTCAGGCCCTCCTGCCCTTGATCCGTGCAAAGGCAGGAGGGCAGGAGAGGTTCGGGTTTCCAAGATGTCGGTGGCGAACTACCGCAGCCTTTAGCGAACCTGTATGTTCGGGTCTTTGCCACGAATCTCAACCGACGTGATCAGCTCGCGAAATGTCGAGGATGATGTTTTTAGCACTAAGGGAACGTAAGTTTAGGGAGGCACACAGGTGATGCTGTATTGCAAGCCGGTGTGCAGTTGATTTCCGTTTCTAGAAAATGTTTGTTCATATTCCTCATGTGGTTTGCTCACCTTCTTGCCGATGTCTTCCACTCGCGAGACCAAGCCGTCCAGCCTGGCCTCAACGAAGAAGTAGAGCTCCCTACGCCGCCCGCTCCAGGTTACGAGGTTTCGTAAAGAGTTCGCGCGCCCGGGATGGAATAGCTCGGACACCTGGAGGAGAGGTAGAGAGAGAGAGAGAGAGAGAGAGAGAGAGAGAGAGAGAGAC